CTACTAGAATGTCCCGGGTACCCATCGCTGATGTTTGGTGCCTGGGCTGCACAGGACAGCCCTCTAACTTCGAGTCCAATCACTCACTCACTCATTCACTCACTCACTCATTCACTCATTCATTCATTCATTCTTCATCTATCTGCCTCCTTTGCACTAGGCTAGCGGGACTGAGAGTGAACTTGCTCTCAGGCCTCACATGTTATTGTGCAAATGAGACAAAAAACAGGATCATTTCTGATACCAGTCAGTGTTATGAAGATAAAGCCAGGTGATCCCACAGAGAGGGTTAAGGAAGGCAGCTCCTGAAAACAGAGAGAGTGACATTTAAATGAACCCAAAAGCCAGGTGTGGTGTCTTTAATCCCAGCACTCAAGAGGCAGAGGCAGGTGGATTTCTGTGAGATTGAGGCCAGCCTGGTCTACATACTGAGTGCCAGGCCAGCTGGGGAGACTCTGTCTTAGAAAACAAACAAAAGAACCAGAAAGATGAGATGGCCCTTTGGGAAACGATTTTTGTGGCAGAGGTGGGAGGATACCAGATGAAACTTCAACAGGAGCAAAGGTGCTGAGGTAGAGATTCAAATGGCCTTTGGGAGGCTAGAGCTGGAATAGGGGTGGGTGTGGGGGGTGGGAGGACGTTAGGTGTGCATGATCCATACCACTGGGGTCCTAGGGAGCCAAGGTCGAATGTGGAGGTAGGGAGTGATAGATGCAATTAAAAGTTCATCCAGGTGCGGGGGTGGTTGGCCAACACCTTTAATCCCAGCACTCCGGAGACAGAGGCGGGCGGATCTTTGTGAATTCGAGCCCAGCCTGGTCTACATAGTGAGTTCCAGGACAGCTGGGGCTACAGGGAGACCCTGTCTCAAAAAGACCAAAAAAAATAAAAAAAGTTCCCCCTAACTGCCTGATGGAAAACTGCAGTGTAAGAGGTGTCTGACAGCCAGACAGCCACCTAAGGAAAGAGAAGGTGGGTACAGGACTATACTTGGCAAGGGGCAAGGGTAGGATGGATAGCCTTCCCAGAACTGGGAAGGGAGGGGAGCCACTAAGCTTCCCTCCACTCTTCCTCTCCCCTAATCTTCAGTCAGACAGTCACATCTGGGTCTATCTCTCTTCCCTCACTTGTCCCTCTTGTTCCATTTCAGGGCTACATGTTTTTTCTTTTTTATAGTGCCTGGAATTGAACTCAAGGTCTTACAAATTGTGCTCTACTACTGATCTACACCCCAGCCCTCCCACTTAATTAAAAAACTTCTTTGTGCCGGGAGTGGTGGTGCACGCCTTTAATCCCAGCACTTGGGAGGCAGAGGCAGGTGGATCTTTGTGAGTTCGAGGCCAGCCTGGTCTACATAGTGAGTTCCAGGACAGCTGGGGCTACAGGGAGACCCTGTCTCAAAAAGCGCCCCCCCCAAAAAAACAAAAACTTTGTTTTTTTTTTTTTGAGACAGGGTCTCATACTGTACAGCCTTAACTGGTCTGGATGGAGCTTGCTATGTAGGCCAGGCTGCCCTCGAACTCACAGAGTCTGCCTGCCTCTGCCTCCCGAGCAACTCTGTTTTTTTTTTTTTTTTTTTTTTTTTGAAAGGGACGGGGTGGTCTCCTTGTAGCCCCAGCTGGCCTGGAACTCACTATGTAGATTAGGCTGGTCTCAAACTCACAGAAATCCCCTCGCCTCTGCCTCTTGAGTGCTGGGATTAAAGGTGTGCGCCACCATGCCCAGCTCTATACTTGGCATTTAATGGATTAAAAACATTTTATTACATTTATTTATTTTGTGTGTGTGTGTGTGTGTGTGTGTATGACAAGGCACATGTATGGAGGACAGAGGACAACTTCTGGGAATCGGTTCTCTCCTTCTACCACGTGGGTCTGAGGGATTGAACTCAGGTCATCAAGCTTGGTGGCAAGCACTTTTACCCAAGTAGCCATCTCTAGGTCCCCCAGGCCTCCCTTTTAATTTTTAGGATTTTTGTTTTTTGTTCTTTGGATGGGGTCTCACTATGTAGCCTTGGCTGGCCTGGGACTCACTACATAGACCAGGCTGGCCTTGAACTCACAATGATAAACCTGCCTCTACCTCTGCCTCTGCCTCCGGAGTGCTGGAATTAAAGGCATGTTACCATGCCTGGCCTGAATTTTTAGTTTGAGACAGGGTCTCCTTACCCAGGCTGGCCTTCTACTCATTATGTAGCCCAGGCTGGTCTCAAAGCCTCTATCATCTGTCTCAGTCTCCTGTGTAGCTGGGATTGCAGGTGTGCAAACCCCCACAGCCAGGTCATTTCCAGTTCTGAGCCCAGGGCTGACTTCCCTAGTCCCTGACAGTAGATCTAGACTGCTGTGATGGAAAGGAACTGGAGACAAGAGTGTTTAGCCAGGTCTTGGAGCCTATACAAAGGGTGGGGAAGGACACCAAGCCAACCTCTATCCTCCTGGAGGGTGACTTTTCCGCTGTCTCCAACCCTTGAGCCCAGCTTCCTCTTTGTGGAGGCTCTTAACCCACTGAAGCTCCTGCCTTAGGTTAGCAAAGTTCTAGAAGGGAAGATGAGACTGGGGAGACAGGCTAGACCTCAGTTTCCCTTTCTCTAGAGGTTTGCCCTCTGTAGAGGTTTTAGCCTCAAATTTCTGCACAAGTTGGGAGCTCAGGGTTTGTCTTCTGCCCCAGGAAAGAAGACAAGACCTTTGGGTCAGTCCCTGGGGTGCATGGGCGGGCCTGGTCACATTTATTTCTGCAGGAAATGGCTGTAAATCTTGCTATTCTTGGCCAGACTGGAGAAGGGATGGCAGCCATTGTTGGGAGTCAAAGAGGGGGCGGCTAAGGGACACACCCTGAGCTACTTGCCCACCAAGTCTTTTTCCCAGGTTTGCAACTGGTGGGGGACCTTAATTCTCAATGATGAACCCCTAAGAGGAGCCCAGTTGACCAGGCCAGTCTGGAGGCGACGGAGGGGGCTGACCCAGAGGTCAGCCTGCGGTTCAAACAGCCCCACAGGGAGAATCACACAGCTCCTTAAGAGCTGAATTCCAGGAGCTCACTAAAAAGATGCAGGATTTTTCAGAGAGGATCCCCAGTTGGACCAATGGGATGCTGAGGATTTGAGGTCTACACCAATAGGCAAATTGCCCAGTGCCCTGGGATTGAAAACAAGCCAATCAGAACCCCGGCTGCTTTCAGTTCTGAGACTTGTCTTGGTAAAAGGCTGGTGTAGCCTGGGATAAGCCGGCCTGGGACTGGCTGCAAACAAGCAGAGGGCATTGGGGCGCCTGGGGCTGTGTCCAGGCAGGGGAAACAAGAGACCTCTGTGTGTGGAGATCTGGGTGGGGCAGCTGTCCCCAGGACACATACAACAAACTCTTCTCTGTTCCCAAAGTAGGACGGATATCCCTCCACATTGGGGGTGGGGGAGCAGCTGTTTCTATAAGCCTAACCCCCTCAAAGGCCAGGATGCCCCACCACGGGGGCATCCGGGAAGTGAGATGGACTGGGGGGACCCCGGAAGCCCCCCTCCCCCCATCACTCTTAAGGCTCACTAGGAACCGGCTTAACCAGCCAGCTTCTGGAATGGTGCTTTCTCTGGAAAACACGTGGCCTTTGTCCGGCTTCTTTCCAAGTACTGGCAGGAAAGAGAGTTCTATGCATGTGGCCCCTTCATACATAGAACCAAGGACCTGAGCATCCTCTGTGCACTATGCAAACCCCTCTGAGATTCCCCCTGGACCCAACCTCTAGCTGGTCATGCTGGGCCCAGTGTCTCATGTTCTCTACCCACACCGGTCCCATCCCCTGCCCCTTCCAGGACTCAGCTCAGTTTTCCTTGTGAAACAATACTCCCTGCCACACATACACACACACACAAGAAAAGCATTGGCCCCCTTCACAGCTCACATGGCTGTAGCCAGCTGCCTCATCTTCCCAGCCAGGACCTCCCGGACTGGTCTCTGGTGACCCTCCTCATTGCCTCCATCTCCATCATATCCACCCCCAGCCTTCCCTGCACCGGATATGAGGAGGGCTCCACCCTGTTTGTTTGAGGGGCTTAACACATCTGGATTGTGTTGAGGCCCTGGATAGGGTGCCAGCACCCTGCCTACCCCCCAGGACCCTGTGTCCTTGGGTAGTGTAGAATGGTGTAGATGGGAACCAGCTGTTGAGTTTTTTTTCAAAGTCAGCGTCCTCTTCCAGAAGCATCAGCACCCAGCCCTGAGCCTCTGTGTGTTGGGTAGGGGGATGCTAATAAGACATTAGCTCATATTTATTGACTATTTTCTGTGTGCTGGGTGTGTGTGTGTGTGTGTGTGTGTGTGTGTGTGTGTGTGTGGTGTGTGTGTGCATGTGCAGCTATACTTGTGTAGGACAGAGGTCAAGGATCACCTGACCCAATCTTCCTCGGACTTTGTGCCCATCCCATTGGTTTGTTTAGTTTGGTATTTTTTTTTTTTTTTTTTTTTTTTTAGCTTTTGAGATGGGGTCTCACTATGTATCCCAGACTGGCCTTGATCTCACAGAGATCCACCACCTGCCTCTACCTCCTGAGTGCTGGGATTAAAGGGGTGCACCACCACATCTGGTCTTGTTTTATTTTTTATTATTATTTTGTGTGTGTGTGCATGCGTGATGTGTCTTGAGTGTGGGTGCATGTGTGTCACCTATGGAGGTCATAGGACAACTTTCAGGAATCTCTTCTTCTACATTGGATTCCAGGATTTGAACTCTGGACGTCAGGCTTGGTAACAGGCACCCTTACCCAATAAGCCATCTCATTGGCCCCTTCTCTCTCTTCTTTCCCTGTTCTCTCAATTCCTCAGGCTCGTCTTGAACTTCTGGGCTTGAGCCAGATCTCAAACATCCTTTAAAAGTATTTCCCCATCAGCCTTCATGAAGGGAGCTTTCTGGAACCGAGATGGAGATGTCCAGCGGCTAAGTGTCCAGCACTCTCTGCCTGTCAGCTCTACCTTGTGTCCCAGGTTGCTGTCCTTCAAAAGAAATCAGGGTAGTGGGTGGTAGTGACCAGGGCTTGGTGCCATGGGTGCTCAGAATGTCACTGACCTAGGTCAGCGGGCTGTGTAAAGCACAACACTTGTGTGTAGGACAGAAGCCACTAGCCCTCCAAGCCCTGCCTGAGGCTCACTTTGTGCACAGACAGGCAAGGTTTCTAGAATTCCACGGGAACCTTCTTTCCGTCAGTCCCTTTGACTTCTTTCTTTGTTTTACTTGAAGCAGGGTCCTACTGTGGAGCCTGGGCTGGCTGAAACTTGTAGCAGTTCTCCTGCCTCTGCCTCTTGAGTACTGGGATTAGAGATGAGATGTGCACTGCTAGGCCTGGTACTTTTTTTTTTTTTTATTGAATTTTTGTGTATTTCATACATAAAATCATCTCTTTTTTTTTTTTTTTTTTAAATGTGTATGAGTGTATTGCCTGCATGTATGTGAGTGCACCCATGTCGTGTAATGCTGTGGAGGTCAGAAGAGGGCGTCAGATTCCCCTGGAACTGGAGTTAAGGACAGTTCTTAGCTGCCATGTGGGTGCTGGGATTCGAACTTGGGTCTTCTGCAAGAACAGCCAGTGTTCTTAACTGCTGAGCCATCCCTCCAGCCCCTTCTCTGCCAACTCTCATTCTCTGCATTTTGGCCATTTGTGGCCTTTTGTGTTCCTAGTCCTCTTTTGCATGAGGGAGCTTCATTGATGAGAATTGAAAGATGCCTTAGGGTTCGCCTCATCCCTTCTTCTATGTTCTGTGAATCTTAGGTGTAGAGGTTGCATTCTAGATGTACCACTTAGGCTTAGGCATTTCATAGAGAATCTCTGTGTGTGACCAGCTGATATTTCATTTTTATTTTAAAATATTTTTTATTGATTTTTTTTTTTTTTTCTTTTTTGAGACAGGGTCTCCCCATAGCCCCAGCTGGCCTGGAACTCACTATGTAGACCACAGAGATCCATTGCCTCTGCCTCCCAAGTGCTGGGATCAAAGGTGTGCACTACCACACCCAATGACTGATTTTTATGTGTATGTTTTACTTGCATGTATGTAAGTGAATCTCGTCATGCAATGCCCATGGAGGACAAAAGGGGCCATTGAATCCCCTGGAACTGGAGTTAAGGACAGTTGTTAGTCGCCCTGTGGGTACTAGGATGCAAACCTGGGTCCTCTGCAAGAACAGCCAGTGCTTTTAACCACTGAGCCATTTCTCCAGCCCCCCTCCTGTGTGTGTGTGTGTGTGTGTGTGTGTGTGTGTGTCTGTGTGTGTGTGTTGGTCTGTGTGGTGTGGTGAGTGTGTGTGTGTGTGTGTGTGTGTGTGTGTGTGTGTGTGTGTGTGTGTGTGTGGAAAAACAAACCAAATGTAAATGAGGGGCTGGGGTCTACCTCAGCTGGTCAAGTGCAAACATGAAGCCCTGGGTTCAAACTCCAGCACCTCATGAAACTGAGCATTGTAGCAAGTGCCTATAAACCCAGGAGGTAGGTGGATCAGAAGTTCATGGTCATGCTGGGCTACATACTGAGGCCAGCCTGGGGTACATGAGACCCTGCTTCAAAAAGAATAAATATTTTAAAAAATAATTGAATAAGTATCAGGATGCCTATAGGCTTACAAACAACTCTTTCTCAACAAGGCAGGAATATTGTTTCTATTTAGATGAGATATTGACCCTCAATATTTCATATATTAAATTTAATTTTTGTGGTTGAGAATCCATTCATGAAATATTTTATAGGACAAAACTGACAAAATAGAGAGCAGACCAAATATGTCAGCCAGGAGTGAGCTATCTGTCTATCAGCATCTCACTATGTGGCCCTAGCTGGCCTGGAACTCACAGAGATCTGCCTGTTCTGCCTCCTGGTTGCTGGGATTACAGGAGAATGCCACCATGCCTAGATTTAATAAGTCTGTTTGTTTGAAAGAGTGTCAAAAGCCTGTTGTGGCGGTACATGCCTGTAATACTAGCACTTCAGAGATGGAAGCAGGGATATCAGGAGGTTAAGGCCAGCTTCAGCTACAAGTTCCAGGCCAACCTGGGTTACAAAGCCCCAAAAAAGAAGAGTTGGAGAGATGGCTCAACAGTTAAGAGCACTGGCTGCTCCTGCAGAGAACCTGGGTTCTGTTCCCAGCACCCACATGGCAGTTAACAACCATTAGTAACTCCAGTTCCAGGGGATCTGATGCGTCTTCTGGTCTCTACAGGCATTGTATGATACAGGGGCACTTACATACATGCATGCAAAACACAGATACACATACAAAATGAAAATAAATAAAAACAACACAGAAGTGTTGCTCAGGGTTTATGGCGGCTGTGACTACCATGTACTAGCTCCATGACTTTGGTAAAAGGAACTGACTGACTTCTCTTGGAGCATTCTGTCACATGGGCGGGACAAGGATAAATCCATTTTCCTGGGAGGGCAGTGATCTATCTTGGAGTCACTCTGAGGACCCATCAGAGCTGGACCCTGAATTTTTAACCGTCCATGCTCAGCTCTAGCAGCAAGCAGCTGCTAGAAGCCACACTTCTAACCTGGTTCTCTCTCTCCCTCTGCAGTTCTTAGCCTCATGGCCCCCGATGGCCACTGAGCCCCACCATGGGCAGTTTATACTCTGAGTACCTGAATCCTGAGAAGGTTCGAGAACATTACAACTACACCAAGGAGACACTGGACATGCAAGAGACGCCTGCCCGCAAGGTGGCCTCAGCCTTCATCATCCTTCTTTGCTGCGCCATCGTGGTGGAGAACCTTCTGGTGCTTGTGGCAGTGGCTAGAAATAGCAAGTTCCACTCGGCCATGTACCTGTTCCTGGGCAACCTTGCTGCCTCTGATCTGCTGGCTGGCGTGGCCTTTGTGGCCAACACCTTGCTGTCGGGCTCTGTCACACTCTCTCTGACCCCCTTGCAGTGGTTCGCCCGGGAAGGCTCCGCCTTCATCACTCTGTCTGCCTCCGTCTTCAGCCTCCTCGCCATAGCTATAGAGAGACACGTGGCCATTGCTAAGGTCAAGCTGTATGGCAGCGAGAAGAGCTGTCGCATGTTGATGCTCATCGGAGCCTCCTGGTTCATCTCTCTGATTCTGGGCGGCCTGCCTATCCTGGGCTGGAACTGCCTGGACCAGCTGGAGACCTGCTCCACTGTCCTGCCCCTGTACGCCAAGTACTATGTGCTCTGCGTAGTGACTATCTTCTCTGTCATCCTGCTGGCCATTGTGGCTCTGTACGTCCGTATCTACTTTGTTGTCCGATCCAGCCAAGCTGATGTGGCCGGTCCCCAGACCCTGGCCCTACTCAAGACGGTCACCATTGTCTTAGGTGTCTTCATTGTGTGCTGGCTCCCTGCTTTTAGCATCCTTCTGTTAGACTTTGCCTGTCCTGTCCGAGCCTGTCCTGTCCTCTACAAAGCACATTATTTTTTTGCCTTTGCCACCCTCAACTCACTGCTCAACCCAGTCATCTACACATGGCGAAGCAGAGACCTGAGGAGGGAGGTGTTGAGACCCCTGCAATGTTGGCAACGGGGGACTCGGGTGGCCAGTCGGCGGCACAGTGGGACTCCGGGCCACCGCCTCCTGCCCCTCCGCAGCTCCAGCTCGCTGGAGAGGGGTCTGCATATACCCACGTCACCCACATTTGTGGAGGGCAACACAGTGGTCTGAAGAGAAGGGGTGAGCTGATAGATAACAAAGTCACAGAGAGATGCTTGGAGAGGGCTCAGATGACCTCAAGATGTCCTGCAACACCACAGGCCTAGTGGAATTTGACCATACTTCATGGCTCAGGTGGCCAGCACTGACAAATCAGATTATAGTATTGTGACTAAGGGGGGCAGGAGGCTGGAGGTCAGGGCTAGGGAATTTATAACTTGGTACAAGGATGTCAGCACCCTAGCCTACCTTCCAGTGCCTTCTCCCCTCCTTGCCACCATTTTGTGCTTTTTTTGTTTTGTTTTGTTTTGTTTTTTTAAGACAAGTTCTCACTTTGTAGCCCTGGTTGCCTGGTTGGCCTGGAACTCACCATGTAGACCAGGCTGGCACCAGAGATCCTCCTGCCTCTGCCTTCTGAGTGCTGGGAGTTAGCCATATGCCACCATTCTGGGCCCCTGCCACATCTATGAACAACCTCAGACCACTCTTGTGGAACTGCTGTTTCCAGAGAACCCAGGGCTTCCTCTCTGTCCCTCCTGGGCCTAAGTCCACAGCTTCCCCAATTTCATCAACTTGGCCCCTTCCCTTTCCTTTCATATGCCAGGAAAGGAAACCAGTGATAGGGGCAGGGAGGGGTCCCCGAATCCCGTTCTCCATGTTCAGATCTCATTGGCTTATTGCACTATTAGAGGGTGCAAAGGAATCAATGAGAGTTGGGGAAATCAGTGGGGGGAGGGGGGAGCTGAAGATGGCTTTGGGCTTCCCTTAAGGGAGATATTGGCCCATTTTTGGAACTTCTATCCCAAACTAAGCCTCCACCAGAAGCTGTTCCCACCAGAGCACCTTCCTCCTACCCCAGGTATCAGGTCCTGAAGGCAAGGCAGCGTTGAGCCCGCTGTACTTGCTTGCAAATTGTCTTTATTTTTGTACTATTTTTTTAAAAATTTGTGACAGGGTCTCATGTAGCCCAGGCTGGCCTCCAACTTGCTATGTAGCCGAGGCTAATCTTGGACTCCTTGATTCCCCCTACCTCCACTTCTGGAGTGCTGGGATCACAGGCGTGAACTGCCAATGCCTGATTTGCAAGTTTCTTGAATGGACTGTAAGGCTGGGGTGACCACCAAATTTCTTGGTGACTTTAACCTGTCACCTGACCTTGAAGAACTTCGATGACTCCTGTGGACAAATAGGTCCACTGCGGTACAAACTATATTTATATGTGTCTGTATATGTCAGCACATGGGGTCTATGACTCCTCTTCCCTGGCTGGATGTTTTTCTGACCTCTCATGTTCACGTCCATGTTGAAACTGCTGGGGCAGGGGGGTGGGTCTGACCACACTCAGACCCCATTGGGAATTGCTGGCTTATCTCTCCCACAGGGGTGGGGGGGACTTGGGGTGCAAGGAGCCAGTCGGGAGTGTGTCTCCCCTCATTTAGCTCCCCTGAGGTCCTCCTCCCACTGGAGGGGCCAATAAATGGCTTAATTTCTCTCAATGGTGGTAGTTGTGTTTTGGTGGGGACATGGACAGACATCTTGCCTGTTAGTGCCTGTGTCTGGGACGGGGGTGGGTGGTGGGTGGGAGAGTAGGAACTACTAAGGCACCTCAGCTTCTTCTATTTCCCCATCCCCTGCCACCCCTACCTTTAACTCCCCCAGAGCAGTGACTGAAAAAAACTGGAGTCAACCTTGACCTTTTCTCTTTGGCAGCTGGGAGGCTCCCAGGCTCCTCAGAGTGACTCATTGGGCTTGGGGCCTTTCTGTTTTCTTTCAAAGGGACACCCTGGCAGGTAGGCGGGGCTCATCTCCATCCTCTTCCCTGGACAGTCTCAGGGATTGTGGAGGCAGTCTTGATATACAGCAAGCACAAACACCCCTCTAGTACTTCCCAAAATGGCTGAACACTTAATCTTTCTTTTGCTTTCTCTTTCCCTTTCTTTCTTTCTTTCTTTCTTTCTTTCTTTCTTTCTTTCTTTCTTTCTTTCTTTCTTTCTTTCTTTCTTTCTTTCTTTCTTTCTTTTTTTCTTTCTCTTTTTTTGAGACAGGGTCTCCCTGTAGCCCCAGCTGTCCTGGAACTTGTTATGTAGACTAGGCTGGCCTTGAACTCACAGAGATCTGCCTGCCTCTGCCTCCTGAGTGCTGGGATTAAAGATGTGCACATATCAGACTATTTTCCTGTATGTAAGTATACCACATGCATGCCTGGTGCCTGTAGAGATCAAAAGAGGGTGTCAGATTTCCTGGAACTGGAGTTAAGGACTGAGTTAGATGCCATGTGGCACTGGGAACTGAACCTGGTTCTTTGAGGAAGAATAGCAAGTGGTCTTAACTGCTGAGCCAGCTCTCCAGCCCTCTTTTCTTCTTTTTTTTTTTTTAATATAAATTTATTTTCTCTTTTTTTTTTTTTTTTTTTTGAGACAATATTTCACTATGTAGCCCTGGCTAGCCTGGAACTCACTATGTAGACTAGGCTGGCCTTGAACTCACATAGATCCACCTGCCTCAAGAATTGTTTTTCTTGGGGCTGGAGAGATGACTCAGCAGTTAAGAACACTGGTTGTTCTTGAAGAAGATCTGGGTTTGAATCCCGCACCCACATGGCAGCTAACAACTGTCTGTAACTCCAGTTCCAGGGGATCTGATGGCCTCTTCTGTTCTCTGTGGGCATTGCATGACATGTGTGCACTTACCTACATGCAGGCAACACACTCATACACATAAAATAAAAATTAAAAAAATTGTTTTTCTTACGTATGTGTGTGTGTGTGTGTCTGTCTGTCTGTCTCTGTCTATATGTGTGTGTGTCTATGTGGGTGCGTGCAACTGAGTGCAGGTGCCTACTGAAGCCAGAGGTGTTGGCTCCCTTAGAGTTGGAATTACAGGCAGTTGTGAACTACCTGACATGAGTGCTGGGAGCTGAACTTGGGTCCTCTATAAGCAGTGTGTGCTTTGTTAACCACTGAGCCATCTCTCTTGCCCTCTTCTTCCCCTGCCCCCACCTCCCTTGATACCAGGAATTGAACCTAGGATCTCCTGCATGCTGATCAAGAACTCTTATCACCTTTTTAATTTTTTGAAGATAGGGTCTCATTGGGCTGGAGAAATGGCTCTGTTTAAGAGCACTGATTGCTCTTGCAGAGGACCCAGGTTTGATTCCAGCACCCACATGGAAGTTAACAACTGTCTGTAACTCCAGTTCCAGGGGATCTGATGGCCTTCTGACCTCCACCAGCATTGGATGGCACTGGTGCACTTACACACCTGCAGACAATACACTCATACATAGTAAAAAAAAAAAAAAAAAAAAAAAAAAAAAAGATAGCGTCTCATGTAGCCCAGGCTGGTCTGAAATTCATTCTGTAGCTGAAAATGACCTTGAACTCCTGATCCTTCTGCCTCTACCACTAGAGAGTGCTAGGATTAGAGATGTATGCCTGCATACCTGGTTTATGAAGTGCTAAGCATGGAATCCAGGGCTTTGTGCATGCTAGGCAAGCACTATAAACTGAGCCACAAGCACTCTACCCACTGAGCTATAAGCCCCCTACCTACTGAACTACAAGCATTCTACCAACTGAGCTATAAGCACTCTACCCACTGAGCACAAAGCACTTCATCCACTGAGCCACATCCCAGCCTCACTGGCCTAGCTCTTTTTGTTTTCCTTCTATTTCCCTAACTGTGCCCCAGGGATAACACCTTCCTCTACTGCCCAGAGATAAGGGGTCAGCAGCTCTAAGACATAGATCTGGGGTTGGGGAGATGATTCGGTAGATATAGCACTTAATGACCAAGCATGAAGACCAGAGTTTAGATCTCCAGGACTCATATAGCAGTAAAAGCTGGGTGGGCATAGCAACTTCCTGTAATCCTAATGCTGGGAGGCAGAGATGGGGGATCCCCAGGGCAAGCTGGCTAGCTAGATAAGCCTAATTAGCAAGTTCCAGGTTGAGCTAGAGATCCCCCTCAGTAAATAAAGTGGAGAGGGATGGAAGAAGATAGTAGACGTCAACCTCTGGCCTTTACACACCTACACCTGAGTCCACACACAATGCGGACACACACACACACACACACACACACACACACACCATAGGAAAAGGGAAGGAAAAAAAGAGATCTGAACCAGGTGTAGTGACTCACACCTGTAATCCCAGCACTGGGGAGGCAAAGGCATGAGGATCTGGAGTCCAAGTCCAGCTCACATTACATAGTGAGCTCCAGGCCAGCCTGAGCTACTACAGAGCCCTGCTTAAAAAAAAAAATCAAAGCCAACCTGATCTACATAGTGAATTCCAGGGAGACCCTGTCTCAAAATGACTACAAAACAAAACAAACAGAAACAAAAACAAAAAGGGGACTAGTGCAATGGCCCAGTGGGTAAAGGCACTTGCCACAACGCCTGAGGACCCAAACTCAATCCTGGGGACCCTCATGGTGGAAGGAGGGAACTGACTTCTGCAAGTTGTCCTCTGACCTCCACACACACACACTGTCTCTAGTCTGACCTCTCTGTCCTCCAGCCCTAGTTTCCAAACAGCAGTCATCTATGAGGTGCCAGGAGAGGGGAAATTCCAGTGCGAGGTGACTCTGTCATCTACCTACTCTCAGACACCTGCAACAGACGTTCCCATCTGCCAAAGTTCACCCTCCAGAACTGAGCCATTGAGTGCAAAATAACAACAAAACAAACAAACAGACAGACAAACAAACAAACAAACATGGGGCTAGAGAGATGGCTCAGTGGCTAAGAACACTGGCTGCTCGATTTCCAGCACCCACAGGGTAGCTAACAACAGTCCGTAACTCCAATTCAAAGGGATCTGCTGCCCTCTTCTGACCTCCTCAGGTATTGCACCACACCAGTGCACTTACACACATGCAGGAAATACACTCACACACAAAATAAAATTATAAATAAAATATTTTTTAAAAATCTCATGTTTGAGCCAGGCGCGGTGGCACATGCCTTTAGTCCCAGAACTTGGGAGGCAGAGGCAGGCAGATCTCTGAGTTCAAGGCCAGCCTGGTCTACATAGTGAGTTCCGGGACAGCTGGGGCTACAGGGAGACCCTGTCTCAAAAAGACCAAAAAAAAACCAAACAAAAAAAAAACCTCATGTTTTCAGTAAGTTTGTGATTTCGTGTTGGTTGCTTTCACAGTTGTGCAGGCTGCATGTGGGCTCCCATTGCAAGTTGAACAGGCTTGGTCGTGACCTTTCCACTGGCTGAATTTGTAAGTTTGTGGTGCTGGGTGGGGCTCAATCCTCATCATAGAACCAGAGCCCCACCCTACCTCTGCCTCTGTCCAGTGCTTGGAATCAAACTGCAGGCTTTGCACACACTAGCTAGACACTGCACAGTGAGTTAGATAGTGAGTTGTGGAGTCTGACCTCCCCCTAAACCACTCCAAGCACACCACATGCTTTATCCACATTTATCTCCCTTTAGGTGATACCATCACCTCAGGCTGAATGTGGTGGCACATACCTTTAATCCCAGTATTCAGGAGGCAGGAAGAGGGTTTTGGATCCCCCTGGAACTGGAATTGTTAGCTACCTTGTAGGTACTGGGAATTGAACTTGGGTCCTCTGCAAGAGCAGCCATTGTTTTTTTGTTTTTGTTTTTTTTCCTCCTGAGACAGGGTCTCCCTGTGGCCCTAGCCGGCCTGGAACTTGCTAAGTTTGAGGCTGGCCTTGAACTCACAGAGATCTACCTGTGCCTGCCTCCCAAGTGCTGGGATTAAATGCGTGGGCTACCACACCCAACTAAGATCAGGCAGGGCTCTTAACTAAGCCATCTCTCCAGCCCCAAGGTTTAAAGTTTAAAAAAATTACTTTTATTTATTTATTGTGTGTCTGTGGGCTTGTGTATGCCACGGCCTGTGTGGAGATAAGGGCCAAATTCTTGAGAGTCAGTTCTCTCCTTCCACCACATGGGTCCCAGGAATTGATCTCGGGTTGTCAGGCTTAGCAGCGAGCACCTTTACCCACTGAGCCATCTTGCCAGTCCAGTGTCAGGACTTTAAGATGGAACCCATGGCCTTGGGCCTGCTATGAAAGCATTTTATCTCTGAGCCAGAACCCCAAGCCCCTTGCCCATGGTATTAGACCACACAATTCTCTCTGTATCTGCTTTCAGCTGACTTGTATCAACTCAGTTCTTTTGGCATCATGTTACCACAGCAACAAGAATCTGACATTTCTATTGCTATGATTGTGAATGATGTGGTAACTTCAACATTTTGCTTCTTGATTCAGGAGTTCTTTCTTTTTCCTAATAACATCCAAATTAGACTCAGCCGTAATGGATAATTATCAATATAAATCCTACTGAACTGAGGCTGGAGAGATGACTCAGCAGTTAAGAGCACAGATTGCTCTTTCAGAGGCCCCGGTTTTGAGTCCCAGCACCCACATGGTGCCTATCAACCATCCCTAACTCCAGTTCCAGGCAATCTGATGTCCTCTTCTGATCTCCACAGGCATTGCATGACA